CATTTTCATGCATAGTTCCACGCATTCTGACAACTAAAGCTAACTAAAATATGATTAATATGCCGTTTTATGTGATAAAAATGACAATTTTTGACCTTTGACCTCATTTTTGGAGGTCAAAATTTGATGCAAAGAGTTAATTTTTATTTAAGTCTTCTTTCATTTTTAATTCTGCGCATTTTGACACCAATTTTACCTATATACCGTATTCTGATGATAAAATATGATTCATACAAAAATCATAGCTATTTTGGCAAAAGTCAATGACCTTTGACCTCCGATAAAAAAAATTCCCCAGCCCCTATCTCCCCTTCTTTTTTTTGGTAGTTGTCCAGACCCATACCTTATAAAATCAGTTGAAATTAGCTTCTTTTAATTTTTTTCACAGATTGGCTCAATATATGGCTAATTTAGGGTTACTAACGGGTCATTATGTTGTTTGGATTGAGGTTCCCTTTAAGGACTATCCTGTGTGAGCAAGGTTCAACAATATAAAATAATAATCTTTAGTGCGGTCTTCAAAAATGCTAAAAAAAACATGAATGCATTTTAGATTAAGTTTATCTCCCTCGGTAAATTTACCCAACCAACTCGGGTCTGATAACGATCCACTAAATCATAGAATTACTGTGCCGAGCAATGAGATATTACCTGTCCTTGATCTAGGTCATTTACTCACCTGAACGCTAGTGGCGGTTTCTCACCGGATCATCACAAAATAAGCTACGTTTTATTTATAATAATCATATTTTTCGTAAGATGTTTCGGCGTACTATGCTACATGAAAAGTACGTCAAATTTAGGTGTGATGGTTCGAAGGTTTAACGCTGTACGATATTACAGCCCGGTGTGTATGCTTAAACCATAAATAAATATGCTACTTTATAGATAAATAATTTAATAAATCACGGCTCTTATCGATAACCATAATGTTGACACCATGAATGTCATCCTTGCCACGCCTAGTGCAGGCAGTCAAAGTCTGCTCGTGGTCGACACTGTACTGCGCCATGAACGCTTTTATTTCGTTGTTCGTTCTTCTGTCCATTGGCCTGGCGTTTTCTGCGGCCATAACCTGCAATGAAACCGAAGGATCGATAACTGATGAAAATGAAGCGATCGACTGGTTAAATAACACGTATAATCCACAGGCCGAGATCGTGTTTTTTAACACCGTGTCGGCCTCGTGGGACTACCAGACGAACATCACGCAGTATAACCAAGAGCACATGGTGAGTTTATTTGAAACTTTTTCATCTATCTGCGACTAATTTCTTTTAGTATCATAGCAACCACTCGTGCTACATCAATTTCAATCAACATCGGGGAAAAATAAACTTCAGTTTGTGATATTAGAATTCGCATTTCGGCGATTTTTTTTATTGTGTCATGGAATGTCAATGTATTTTTTTAATTGCATGTAGTGACGGTCTATATCGTGTACGTTGCGTCATAAACAATATTCTATGTTTGAGACAAATGTGACAGTTCTGTGTGACCACCTTCCTATACACCAATAATGATAGAATTACGGCAACTTAATGCGCTATCCCGGCGTATACCTGTATAAACGCCAGTCCAACACAATCACCTGCCGATCTATAACCAATTTTCTCTCAAGCTGGCATATATTAGTGAACGAATCTCGGCAAGTGGAGTTGGCATTTCCTAAACACTCATGATCACTTATTCATATTAAAATATTTATAATCGATGAGAACTTTGATTGAAGTAAGCTAATCGATGTGAAAAGACTGCCAGAGCACAACTACCAACATGTGTTATCTGGGACTTACTCTGACACTCGTATTACAAGTGGAGTTTGTCTTTTCAGTTGGAGGAATCAGCCAATGCCGGTGAATTCCAAAAGGACGCCAGGGTTTGTGCCCTTGTGTTCGACAGATCTGATTTCACCTTTGATACTGAGAGAAGACTGGACAGCCTCGTGTACATTGGATCTTCAGCATTGAACGATGACAAGCTAAACGAGGTAAGATTGATTGGTTGATGGTATCTACGCCCCATAAAAAGTTGTTATGACTGACAAGGCGATTACTAAAAAAATATACGATTACAATTAATAATGTCAAAGGAATTCAAAATAAACTACCGTCCTCGTGTTCCTTTCTTTGATAGTTAACTTCCAAGTTTATTGCCACGATTGTATACGAAGTCCCGTGATAGTCGCCGGAACAAGTGTTGTGACAATCTTGGTGGTGGTTTAATTCAAGATGAGAGTAGGTTGTAGTGTTGTGGTGTTTGACCCTAATTGTTGAAATGGGCGGAAGGGGTAGTATGTAGGGCTCTATTTCGAGCCATGATAGTATTATAAGATTGTGAAAAATTGTTTTCTGAAGTTTTATATTCTGTTCTAATGTTTACAACAGTTTGCCAAATCGTACAAATTGACTTTACAAAAACAGCTGCTCTCAATAGCGTAGAACCCCGACTGGGTTTCAATCTCATACTCAATACCATCGGCTGTGAGCCACATACTAACATTAAATATTTGAACTTTGAACTGTCGACTTAATTTGCATATCTGTGAGTCACAACACAAAAACAGAGTTGTATCATACACCTTGAACGTTTTTTGTGATTGATGTAAGCATTATTTCCAATTCACCTGTGAGCTTCACAGTGTCGTATCGACCGAGAACGTTCTACGAATGAACGAAATACAAGTGTCAGCAACCTATTTTACCATACTGTCGATTACTTCCTCTCAAATTGACCACCACTGCATCATGATGTATATTCAATTTGTCGACATTTCAGAGTATTGTAATTGAAATAAACGACTCCACGTGAAAACCGGGCTCGGATTGGGATGTTCGCTTTAATGTTCGGCTATGTCTCACCCATTTTTGCATACATCATCGTCCTTTATCACGCAGTATTGAACAGTGCGTCGCCCTGGATTCCTTCAGTTGAATAAAGCGGCGTGTCGATGTGGGTTTCATGCGACGTACTTATACCATGCATGTAAAATACACGAAACTCGAATTCTCGTTGTACAATATGTATGAAATAAACGACATATGCAAATTAACACCCATTTAAACAAATTTCATGGTGAAAAACTCAAAAATGTATTTTACATGCGTTGTATAAGTTGCATGGGACCCACAATCAAACACGGCGTGGAGGCTGTAGCGTATAACTTAAATGTATACTTATTTTGCACCCAGTATAACCAAATTGTCGCTGACATGGAGGCCATATATTCAACTGGTAAAGTCTGTGACAAACCTGGGGATGAAGACCCAGACACGTGCTACTCACTTGATCCAGGTAGTATACTAGCTTCTTACGAAATATAATAATTTAGTCATACATATTTTTCAAGACACCACTCACCTAAACTAAACTAAACAGCTGACACGTTGCCGGGCTGCTGTGTTGATAAGCATATACCTATTAAGAGCATAGTTGCTGACAGATTACCGGTCATACAAAGACACGCCCTCTGGCGACGAAGTGAGACATATGGTTACAAGGTTTCACGGCGTCCATATTGTTTTGAACTGTAAACGCCATGCAGAGATTAACAATACTGTGTTTTAGAGGGATCACATTGACGCTATTTGGAGGTGGGGGGGGGGGGGCATTTCGCCCGTAGGCCGTCGTCCAAAGAATATCATTTCTTTCGTGGTTAAATAAAATTTCAACGATTTCTTATCTTTAAAAACGACTGCACAATGAAACTTGGGAAAATTACATAGCAATATACAGACCGTAATACTGTGCTCATTATTATCACAGTAAAACAAAATCCTGTAGGTACTTTTACAGTAATTTTTAAATATGTTTTCAGTTCGTAACAATATAATCTGTCAATTTAGAACTACTGCGTTGGTTATTTGTATTGCATTTTGGCGCAGTTTTACTTTAAAGCGGGAGGGTCGTCACCTGCGCACGCGCGGGAATTAAGTCCCAATCGAGGATAACAATAGTCTGGTTCCCTGCCCCATTTCAACGCTGAGGGCGGTTTTAGAAAAGGGTCAGGTACGGGGTATTACATCCAAGGCGGTTATTGGTAGTTACGTACGGAACATCTGATTCGTCACTGAGACAATTCAACATGGCGGCTTCCATGGACATGGAGTTTGTTATGAAAACAAAGATTGCTTTAGCACATGTAAACGCAAACAGTCATTCATGTTACACATATTTAAGACCAAAGCAAGTTGATTGTTTGAAGGCATCCACTGATAGTGATTGTATAGGCTTGTTGCCTACCGGTTATGGAAAATCACTGATTTTTGAGTGCCTTCCCTACATGTCAGCTTCACACAGTCCCAGGACAGTGATCTTGATCTCGCCATTGAATGCTATTATAGAAGAACAGTCTCGTAGACTCGGCGCAAGGTCAGTGCGGTTAAATCCGGAGTTTGACTGTAGTTTGTCCAGTTTCATTAGTTGTGAGTATTTGTATATACTGTCTCACCC